TAATTTAAATTAATCAGAGAAGCAAGAAGGCTTCTCCCAAAACACACCCAGATCAAGCACTACGCAAAAGCTTTTTTGTTGTTATTTCTCTTGTTCCTTGGTGGACTAGAGCTGATGAATTGAATACTGCCAAATTAAATGTGCCTGGCTCGTTCTCCGGCACTGGTCTCGGCTACTACAAAATGGCTCATGTAGCATTAAACAACCTGTACCTCCAAAGCCAAGTGGCTGCATGCAGCCTGCATATTTTGAATGGTTCCTGACCATGCTAACACCCAGACAGTGCCTGGGACTTGTCTGGGAGGTGTTGGCTGGCATAGCCCAATGCTGTGCCGGGGCACATTTGAGAGTTTGGTAGCACAAGCATTCTCATGCCTGGAAATGTTCCAAGACCTTGGGAGGTTCGCTACTGTGGACTTAACAATGGAGCCTGCATTCGTGCCACAGGCTCTGGCATTGCTTTCCAGGTTCATGCTCTGCTGTACTCTGACTTGAGTGTCAACATCAGACTAGCGCAGGCAGCATCCATTCCCTGCAGCAGCGAAACCAGGGCTGGACACGGGCCCAGACGGTCTACAGCTGGTCTCGCAATCCCTGTACTTGGGCAACCAGCAACGAAGGATGTGTTCTGGAGGTGTCATAAATCCCAAAGGAGGATCCCCAGGGTGCCCTGGAGGTGACTTGAGAGCAAGTAGTCAATACCACACTACAGATAAAACCACTTTCTCTCGTTTGTTAGCACCCTCTAGCTTCACAGCCTGAAGTTCCCACCTGAAAGCTGGCCATCCTCCTACCCAGACAGTCTACTGCCAATCATGAGGGCTGCCCCAGCCCTGCGATCTCCTGAAGCTTTTGTCTGTAGTTGGGAAAGACGAGCACTGGGGAGTCCGGAAACAGGAGTCACAGATCGGAAACTTTGGCAAAGCTCTCGAGCGCTGTTTGAATAATTGCTCAGCAAAATTCAAGCTGCAGACTCTTTTCAGATTCCTCTAACTATCCCAATTTTAAAAACTCTATTAATCCCAGTGACAGCCGGATATCACACCTACCTAATCTAATCTTCCAAGGCATTTCCATTGTGCTCTTCTCTGTAGTATTCTGAGCATTTCAGAGAATTAAATGAGTCTGCTACATAATCTAATTAATATTGATCTTTGGTTCTCTTCTTGCTCAACACAGGCAAGAGAAGAAGGCACAAAATTCATCTAGCTTAATTATTATTATTAAAGTTATTACAGTGGGAAAGCCATGATAGAGAGGAGTCCTGAATTTTAGCCAGAGGGCATAAATATCTGTAGCTCTTCCAGTCTCTCAAAGGAGGGAGTCCCAGAGAGAGCTTTCCTCTTATGATGTTGAACAACACTGTAGGACGTTGCACAAGCATATCCAGATTTGTTCAAATAGCTTTTCAGCTGCAGGTATGTAGCATAGGTGCATATTAATGTTTGCACTGCTGCAGTGTACATCGTTGCATACCCAAAATGGAACTATATCAGATATAAGACCTGCCTTGCATCCATGTTCAGGTTCGTATTTGAGCTTGCATAATGCATTACACTGATGTGAATTTCTGTTTTGCAAATGTGATCATATGGCTTTTTAGAAATAAGTCATCCTGCAATTAGTCTGGAATGAGTCTATTGGGACTGCTGAAGGTTAGGTCAGAGTCTGGAGGCACCACAGTTATTTATTTGTACGCTTTCCCTTTCTTTGCAGGTCAGCTGCTGTCTCTTGAACTAGCATGAATTTTACATTTTCCTTTCCAGAGCTGAGGTTATTTCTAAGTTGACTGGTTTGCATGCATCTGTCTGCTCTGGAAGTCAACAATGCTCAGAACCAAGCTGGCATATGGCAGCCTTGGACTGGGTCTCCTGCCATCCCCAGATGAAAAATATTTTTCCATCAATCTTGTCTACTGGAAAACCCAGTAGCAATGAAAAGTCCATGATGATTCCACGGCTAAAAAACCTTACAAGGTAACATTTCAGGACCATGTACGGTCTACCTACAGAAGCTCCATGACCACCTGACCAGATCTGTTGATTTGACATGGGTGACACGCTGTGCCAGATGGTGATACTGGGAGGAACAAGAGCCTTTTTAGTCCTTGCTTGCCCACTCAACCCACTTTGGTTTATATCTCCCCACTATGTGTCACCTTCACACTGCAGGTACTTAGATCCAGTCTGCAGCTGTAACATGCTAGCAGTTATACTCAGGTGTCAAACAGAAGAGGAGAGCTGCCTGTGTACTTCCACAGGCACGGTCTGTAGAGGAGGCGCAAGTGCTCCTCCAGCCCTCAGAAGTAATTTTAGGATGACTTGAATGGTCATTGTGGCCTGAATGACCATGATGCATCTTTGTTTTGATGAAATAGCTTTGACAGCCAGCAGCAGTATTTGCCAAGCAAGAGCATGCAATATGCCTTAAACAACCAAAAGTATGGCCTTTGTCCGTAGTTCGTATCAAGAGAAAATGCAGTCCATGCTGGCAATGCTAGCAATGAATCTAAGATGAACTCAATGTGATATATTTGAAAAATTACCAACAACCTGCTTTTTCGTTGTGGTCCAGGAGAGAAAAAGTAACAGCTCAACAGGGGAAAACGTTGAGCAGGTTTTACATCTGACATGTCCTTCTGCACTCTACAGAAAATTACCATGGCTATCTCCAGTAATTGCAGGCTAAATTCTTCACAAACATATAAAGTGACAAGAATGTATCCCAATTTCCATGGCACCTGTCTTATTGTTAGCGCAAGAAATCTTTGTTATAGCTGCCAATAATCACAGAGATACTCAATGGGTTACACAGTGATCACTCACTGAAGAAGGAAATGAGTCAGTATGTGAAACGTAAAACCTTGCTGGTTAATATGCATGTATTTGAAGGATATAAAAGTCTTAGGGATGAATTTTATTTGGGGCACTTTATATGGGCTTGCATGCTGTACTGTAAATGCAATTATTATGCAAATATATGCAGTAACCATGGAAAGAATTTAGGGTATAGCAGGTGGCATCATTCTTGGTCTGAGATCATAAAAATTTCTTTGACCACCTGATCCAATGTTACAATGAGAAGCTAGAATTGATGTCATCTTTTACGACGAGTCATTCTTTGGAGAGAGATTTTTAAGGCACGTGCAATAAAACGTATTTTCTGGATCTATTTTCATTTTTTTTTAGTGCAGTTGCATGTATGAACTGGAGGCATCGGACATAACTAGTTCTGATCTCTGCAATTGTTATCCCACATCTGCTCAGACCTGTGCTAACCACTTAGATAGTTCTCTTTTGTTCATCCTACCTCATGCACATCACTTTTGTGATGAAGAACCAAGGAGATATTTGATTGGAACCGGTGGAGAGTGGTGCTGAGTGCCTCCCCATCATAGCGTGTGATACAGCCGCCAATTCAGAAGAGTGGGCAAGTTTCCTCTGCATCACCTTCCTGCCCTTCTTTGTTTCTAAGAGGTCCTTTTTCTCTGTGCTGTTAATCCCTCTGACCAGCAATGCAGACCTGCTTCCAAAGCCTTTTGTGTTAGCGCTTGTTCAAGTGGGTCCAATTTTCCTCTGAGCTAAACCCAATTAACTCCAGAATAACTCCATTAACTTCAAAGCACCGAGCAAGTGAGCATTGAGTGTATGGGAGATGGAATTCAGTGTATCAACTTTGGTAACGTTGGCTTTCCCCAGAACACCCTTGCACGTGAGGAGAGAGCAGGAACCTCATCGTTCATCACTGCTTATTAATATCAAGTGTCTGGAGGTTTGTTTTAGTCTCATCTTTGTCACAAGCTTGTCAAAGAGAAGAGCAATGGTGTTTTCTCCTGTTTTTGAAAGTTATATAATTTTTCAATTTTGTTACTTTGTCATCATGACCTTTCTGCCCAGAAAAAGATATATAGTACTAGGATAAATTGTTCTGCTCTTTTTCTCCTAAATCAATTAGTTCATTTCGTCATAAAGCGTCAGAAGTCTCTGTCAGTCGCATCAGCTCTTTCTAAATTAACAACTGCAACAGAAAAACACGTATCAAAACACCATGCAAATACAACAGTATAACCATAAGGTTATGTATTATTCTCTTTTTTTTTCTTTTTTTTTTGAGAGTAAAAAGAAGAAAGAACATTTATGGTGAGGAAACACTGGAGTTTTTCAAAGATTAGTTTTCCACTGATTTTCATCCAGTGTGTGCACTGCTCACGCTTTGAATAAAGCTTCAAAATATCTCAAGCTATTCACCCTCTATATATGAAAAGTCAAGTGTGCTATAATTCGTAGTTAAGTGACTACTTACAGGCGCTCAAAGCATCAGAGAAGATGATGTCAGACTGTAAAAAAGGATTGTGTACATTTGCACCCGATTCAAGGCACTCAGAGTAGTCTACAAGAGTTAACAAATTCATAAAATTAGCATTTGATATTGGAAGTTGGTACTAGGCAAAGATTAATTTTTTCAAATGCTATGATGGGGAAGGATTGAGCAGTGAATTAACATTTCTATGCTCCAGAAGTATTTTTCCGTAACCACATATCCAAATATATGCACCAAATCTTTTAACATGACATTTGAATGCAGACGGCATGTAGTTTATGTTTCTGCCACAGAACAGAGCAGGCAGACTCATTTAACTGTTTCCTGTCTTCATTGCTTCATGGTATTCATACCGGTAACTCCGATAATTCCCACCAGCTCTCAAGCAGTATGTCAGTGTCTTGAGCAAGCCAAGATTTTCCTTTCCTGTGTGCACGCACGTGTGCATGCTTGGGATTAGCCGTTAAGAGCTTTTCTGCTCTGTTTGTCCTGGTGCCTGACATAACCACCAGTTACTGTCTTCATATTTACATAGCATCTCTCATTCAGGGGTCTCAGGCAGTACGAGTGTTAGTACAAGAAAATGTATAATGTTCCTCTGAAATATTTATAATCCTCTTCTTGCAGAAGTGGAAAATGTGGCACACAAAGGCTAAGCAACCTATGGGGAACTGTCGCGAAGGAGTGGTTAGGTCGCTTAAAGAATCACCATCAAAGATAGTCATAAAAGTGATTTTTTGATAGGAATTTATAAAATGTGATTTAACAAAGTTCATTGGCAAGGTTCCCTCTGTTATTGAGTGAAAGCAATACAAAATCAAGGCAGGATTAAGATAAAATTATTTATACAGAGATTGAAAAAAAGAATATAAGGGGGTATGGGAGACCCTCCCATTGAGTCACAAGGTTCGGAATGGACCTCCTTGCTTTCTAAACTCCTGCTCAGAGAAGAGCATAGGTGCAGCTGGATCCAGACTTAGCCTCAGACCACAATGGTTTATGTTTAAAGGATATGTCTAGCAGCAATTGAAGGTTTATTTGTAGTTAAAGAGAGACAATCACAGGAATTTTGCAGTAATTAAACATTCATTAATAAAGTGACTAAATAGGATTTACTAGAACAATAATAGTATAATATTATGATTCAAATTAGTTCACACAAACACACAATATGCATAGATAATGACACCTGTTAAAAATTCCCCTCAAGTTCAGTGAAATGCTCACTTCAGATGATTTCTCAGCAGGCAAAGGTTGAGCCTCAGGGAGTGAGGAATCCCCATAGTTCAGCCCAGGTCCTGTCAGCAATGGTAGCTTCAAACTTAAGAGTTCGAGGGCTCGAAGAGGCGTCCCATTCAGAGGGAGATGCTGAACGCAGCCTGCTGCTGCCCGGGAGACCTCAGAACGTCTCACTTGGGACCGCTGCTTGCAGGCTCACGAGAAGATTGACTTTAGGCATCAATAAATTTCCATCCTGACCATGATCCAGGCTGGTGGTTTTGAGAATTCCAGTAGCACTGGTACTGACCACCTGAGTTACAATCCAGGTAGGATATGTTCCAAGGCTGTCAGGGGATGACTGATTATTCCCGCTCTCATTCCCATCCTTGGCCAGGCAACCAGAGTTCTTGGTACAGTCAGTGCTGTTCCCCACCGTAACCATGCAAGAGTTCCTGGTACAGTAAAGGGACGCTTTACCGCCAAACTCAATGCACACAGGCTAAGACTTGACGGGAATTCTTGAGAATGTAAAGCAGTCCAGGAGAAGGTGAGGAAGGATGCACCACCACAGGCACAAACAGCTGGCATCCCCAAAGTCCTGGCTCCCAGCCTCGTAACCTCAAGGCTCTTTTCCATTTTGGACATTTCAGAAAGAAAGCCCATAATTCCCAATGACATTCCCAAAAGACTGTCCCACAACACTCCTGAGGTTTTGATCTTGCAGGATTTGGTGTAATGAGAAACCCAACAAAACGCTGGTATTCCCAGGAGGGTGCCTCGACTTACTGGTGGGCAGAGAGGGCGAGCGGGGGGGGAGGCTGCTGCCCCCCGGCATGCTCAGGGCAGAAACCCCTCACAGTGCGGAGTGCCAGCAACCCCTCTCTGCCACCCCTCTTTTTGAAGCTGGACCCCGTGTGGCATCCAGGCTGCTGGGAGATCCATCGGCTGGGGATGCCGGACAGGAGCACACGGCTCTTCGCCGCTCCCGTGAAGGAGGGCTGTGCCACCCACCCCTCCTGCACATGGGGCTGGGGGGAGAGCACGGCTGTGAAGTGCTCGGCCGTGTCACTGACAGACAGCTCTCCGTGGCTGTCGGGATGTCTCTGCAGCCTGGCTGTGCCATGCTGTCGCAGGCCTGCTGCCCCATCAACGTCTCCGTGCTGCAAAGGGAACCGGGAGTCGGGAGGGGGGTGCATGCAGTTGCCTCTCCTTGGGGTGAAATTCAGATATGATCCCTTAATAGTCCCCAAAAAAACTTCGATTCCTTTACAAATTAAGTGTATCAATGCAACCAATATATCTGTTAGAGTATGCAGCAAGTATACATTAAGTATCTAGTAAATATGTTTTCAAGTAGTCTTAGCTTTTATAAGTTTTCCAGATCCTCAGAAGTGTAAAGAAATCAAAAAGTAAAGAAGCAAGATGTGACATTTCTGAACTCTCACAAGTCTTTACTTTTTCCAAATATTTGGTATCACTGCAAATAATTTGTTTTTCGTGCTCTGTCTCAACTTCCCCCTCTTTTTTACACTTTTGCCTTCTCTCTCAGGCTCTTGGTTATAAAATGCTCAGAAAGTGGGTGCTTGCTTTCTTGCATAAGTTCCCTGTGTATTTGCTTTTCCTTGGAGGTTGAATTTGAGGTCACCCACAACACCTTGTCACAGTTTAAGATGTTTTATATGTTCATATTAAATAATCTAAACTTAGTCTGAGATGCAAGGTTTAATAATGAAACCTAGGGTTTAATTTAGCAAAAGTGAAGATACTCTGTGCTTTTCTTGATATAATTGTAATATTCTATAATCCTTGATATAATTTCAATATTCTGTAATTTTCTTTATATAATTCTAGAGCTTTCAAAAAAGTCAGGTTTTCTCATCAAAGGTCTGTTTTCATAGGGAATCTGGAGTCCAGCTACAGAGTTATGAAGATGTATTACAGAAACAGTATCCATGGAGCTTAAACTTTTCCATCTGAAGGAGACAGGTTTGGATTTTTTCCCCTCTAGGTTACACAGCAAAAGTAAAACTTCCTTAAAGACCATGAAAATATGGGGCTGTGCAGCAACCAGAGTCACACAGAGGTATAGATTTTACCACTCACCTCTAAATTATTTTCTGAGCAGTCACTGAAGGGCTCTCTGAAATCACTGCTGTGTGGTAGGGCTGCTCACATCCAGACGAGGCAGGTGTCACTGGTGGTGACACTGAATATTGGCTCTACCCCTGCTGTCCACATCTTCTCCTACCACGTACTCTCACACCGGGGCATCAGTCCTGCAGCCCACGCTCCCACCACCTCCATCTCCCAAAGCCCAGGGGTCTGCAAATAGGGCCAGCCGTGCCGGTGGCTGGGAGCCGTCAGGGCATGCAGGCAGTGATGGCCTGAGCTGAGCCATCGGGTGGACGCCTGCATTAACAGCCACCAGTTATAGCCTTGGAGCAGGTGGTTCCTGGGAAATTCAGATTAGCATCCACAGAGGAAGAGCGAGGCCACCTGGCTATGGCCATGGAAGTGGGTTGTGCGATGCCAGCAGCACTCCTGCCTCAGGCAGGGAACCACGGCTGAGGTCAGTCTGAGCCAAAATAGATGAAGGCAGTATTCCTGCGTGCTCCGTGGAACAACAGCTGCAATGAGTGAATTATTTAGTGGTGATGCACATCCTCTGAATATTCTTGCGCTGTTTAGGAGTCCACAAATTAAATAGCTGTTAGGGGATTTTTCATCAAACGCATGCCAGACAGTTTGGGCAATAGGCTGGTACCTCAGCTATGAATCAGTTTGCGTATTGCTGTTCTTTTTTTTTTCTTTTTACTGCTTCCCATATTTTAAAATGGTAAGAAATATGATACAATGCTAAACATTAAAATTAAATCAGAAGCAGTCTCTCAAAAAGTATTTCTCCTCTGAATGTTGAAAGGCATTTTGTAGGTGAGGTGCAACAGAACGACTTGTAGCTTGTCTTCCTGAGGAATCTGGTAGAGGTGAGGGCTGGAAAGCAGCAGTCTTCCTAAAGCTTGACATCAGCTTTAGTCTGCGGTGGTCATTTTTGATGTATGTTGCCATTCTTGCATCTCTTTCATGTAAGAGAAAGTGGGTCCAGTGCCTTTAGGACAAATTTAGAAAAGGTGCATAGAAAGCGGCCAGATTTCTTAAGGCTCTTTCAATTAGTTTTCTTTCTGTCTGTGGGAGTTTAACTTCTTAAAACACATACAAACACTGGGGAAAGCGCCCATTAGAGGAGCTCCACAGGGCTGACCTGCAGCTGGCATGGAGCATGCTGCTATGCTTGCTTAGACACTTTGCGTGTAAGTAGGGGCAATAACTTGTTTTAATGGCAAGTTTGGGTGGGGGGACGTGGGGAAGTTATGGATAATCTAGCGGTGAAGTTAACAGGCGTAAGTTCAAGCATGTTAAACTCCTTGGACATGTGTTTTCACTCACAATAAAGAGGCTGGAGTTTGCAGCAATTTAAACAGAATTAAGCTACAGAAAATGAAAGCCATTTTATTCCTGTGTAAGAGTGCCCACATGGCATTTATCAACCTCTAGTTTAGACATACTTATATTCCACTTTTATTTGATTAACTTTCCTGCATGCCTTCCTAATAGGCATGGACTATGATTTTTCAGTTAGTTCAAGGAGCCTAAAGTAAGCTACTTCTACAAATATCATTCCTTGCTTAGAAACTAATATGGAATCCATCGCTAACAGGAATTCCACTAAAATTGTTGTAGTGGTTGCTTAATATATGCACAAGATTAAATACTTCTGCTTTCAAAGTAAAAAAAAAAAAAAAAGACGTACTATACTAGGACTAGCTCTTCAAAAGAAACGAGCTTTTGCATGCAGACAAATAAGTAAGTTTTTTTCCCAGAGAGTACTGACTCCGTCAGGTACATCTGTGCTGTCAGATAACCTAACTCCCCAGTTCATTTCCAGGTTCTGTCCTTTAATCATCCATACCAGTCTTCTCTAACTCATTTGGCATGGACCTACCAGATCTCCTCAAAACAAAACGCGTGCATGCTTCTGAGGGTGCTTGGCTCCAGGGCCCCCTCCAGGAGGGCAGCACGGGGCGGAATGGGCCGGGTCTGGCTGCCTCTGCCCTACGCCGGGCAGGTCTGCGAGCAGGGGCTGCCGTGCCCTGGTGTGCTCACCGCAGAGGGAGGGAGCGCGTTGGAGCCGGGGGTAGGTCCCACACATCATACATGTTTTAGATTTTCTTTGGACTAACTCTAACAATAGGAATGCATTAAAAGTGTGTGCCAAATGCCACGCTTTCTCTCTATTTTTTTTTTGTTTTTGAAATTAGAGACCAGCTTCTGGTTTCATTTCGTCTGATTGAAGGTACATCTACAGTCACTTTTCTGTCACTGCTGAAGTAAGTTTCTTGGGTGTCCCGACTTATCTTGCTTTAACTCTTATTGAAGAGAGGTCTTTGAGCACAAAAACTGGATTCCTTTTGGGCAAAAATACACCAGAGGACTGGCTCCAGTGGCACAACTAATGCCCTCCAGCTGCAGGTGAGCTTGCAGCCCCAGGACCAGACCAGAGAGGATGCTTTGAGCTAATGAAACACACAGTTGCCTGTGTCCACTTCCACATTCAAACTTTGAGTTTGGTACCAGGTGCTACACCTTTTAAAATCCTTAGCTTCCCCCTACTGCAAGTCATTTTGTAGACGTGACTCGATTCCAAGAGAAACCCTGTGGCCCCAAGGTGCAGGTGGCACTTGGATTTGCAGTGTCTGCATTTGGCTACACTGAAGTCCGGGATCTAGCCTTGATTACATTGGTTTTGAAGGGCAGCAACAGCAAGGAAGGAAAAAAAAAACATGCAGGCTTGGGAAATGCACAAGCAGAATTAAAAATGAGGAAATAATAGTAAGAAATATATCAGGAAAAAGAGTAGAAGGAACTTCTCCACCCTCCTTACTGTAGTGTATGTGTCTGCATTAACCCACCGTCTCCCTGCTTGATGAAGCAGGTACCGTGCCAGTGTGCCAGTGCCTCCTGCTTCTTTGGAGAGTTGCTCCCAATGGTTTCATTTGTCTGGAACTCACTTGGTATGTGTTTGTTGGGTTATGTGATTAAAGGCTTGTCACGAAGGAGCACAGAGGCTCAAGGGCAGGTGGGGGGTGGGGGCAGTGACCTCGCCAGGGAAAGGTGCTCTGGTCCCCACCTCTCCCCAGGCTGTCACGGGAGATGAACAGCCCTATTGTCGGGGGGACATCCATCACTATGGGGCCAGGGAGAGGCTCTCCAGAGCTCCTTACAGACTGAGGCAGGCACTGTCTGTGGTGGGATGGCACTCATGGGGTTCAGGGGAAGAACATCTGGGGACCAAAGGCAGAAAACAGAGGGGTCATGGTTGGGGAGGAACAAACACGGGAAAGTAGAGGGAAAAGGAATTAATGGGGTCAGTTGGAGGTCAGCGAG